TGAGTTGAAGGAATTTGGCAGCCTGGTCAAGTGACTTATCTGCCCCCTTACCCAAGTCTTCTTAATAACAGGAGGACCATTAATCTCTAGATTAATATAGGTTTATTGTAATAAAGTTTCTACTATAACATTATATTAATAAAAAAAAAAAAAAAAAAAAAAATGTATGTAATTTATATACGTATATATGTATATACCTAATAAATAACATGAGACAAAATCTCATTTTAAAAAAAAATTTAAATTATTGAGATTTCTACTATTAAAAATCCTATTTTTGAACTTACAATATATGATTAAGATCAAATTAGAATTATGATTTCTACTATAAAAAACTCTGCTACAGCACCTGATAATTGTAATACATAGTTAAAATTTAGTATTAGAATTATTATGATTTTTACAATAAGTTGCTCTAAACAAAGTATATATGATTTAATATTAGAATTATTATGATTTTTATATATTCAAGGTTGAATTAGTTTTAATTTCTAGTATAGAAATTCTATCACAGAACTTATATACTATTCAGGCAATCACAATATATTGTCAAGGATGTGTTAGTTTGCATAAGAATTATTTTGAAATATCATAATTGTAATTTCTACTATAAAAATTTTGCTAGTACTTACTTACTGTTCAATGACTACTATTTGTAGTAAAATTATTATGATTTATGTATAGCTAAAATTGATTAGTTTGTTATTGTAATTATTGTAATTTCTGCCATGAATTACTGTAAAAATACTGTTACAAACTTACTATTCCAGTTACAATAATAGTAGTTAAGATTGGGCTAATTTGTATTAGAATTATCTTAATTTTTACTATACAAAATATTGTTACAGAACCTATTTGTTACTTTAATAACACTCTGAATTATCATTATTTCTATTATAACTAAACTTACACTCTATCTCTAGTAACTAAAGTATGCAGTAAAGTTCATTGCATTGAAACTATTGCAAATTTTGTGTAGTAAGATTGATTATTGGAATTTCTGTGATTTCTATCATGAATTATAGTAAAAATTATATTACAAAACTTGACATTTTGGTAATTACAGTAATGGTTAAGATAGAGTGTTAAAATTATCTTGATTTCTAGAGACACTTGAAGAACAGTTAACCCAGTGATCGATGATCACATGATAAACACATAATGACATCATTTGTTTACCAGAATTAAAACAAACTGGCCTAAATATACCCCTAATCTAACCCTAACTTAGGCCGAACACATGTCATGTAATATTGTGATGATTACTGGGTTAACTCTTCTTCAATCTACCCAATTTCTATTATACAAAATTATATTACAGAACCTTAATTGCTATTTCAGTAACCACATTATATGTGTTAGTTTGCACTGGAATTATCATAATTACTATCATCTATAAAGAATTTTGCTGCAGAATTTACTCTTTATCCCAGTAACAAAGTATGTAGTAAATTTGTTTGCATAGGAATTATCACAATTTCTATATAGTTAATATTGAGTTAGTTTGTTAAAACTATTGTAATTTCTATAATGAATTAATATAAAAAATTCCGTTATGAAACTTATCATTTAAATAATTCTATAGTGGTTAAGATCGGGCTAATTGCATTAAAATTATCTTAATTCCTATTATACAAAGTACTGTTACAAAACTTATTCACTATTTTAGTAACTACACAGTATATCTGGAATTATCATTATTTAACTATAATAATAAAGGATTTTGTTACAAAGCTTACACGTGTTTCAATTTATCCAATCAAAAGACCAATCAACGTGCAGATTTATGTCGATCAAAGGTGCGAATTATTTTAGCTTATGTTTTAATAAATAAGTGATGTACATACCAAATCTTATTTATTTTTTAATTAAAATTTGAATACACTTATTTATATTATTTTATATCTTATACTGTTAACATGCCTAAAATTTCACATCGACAATGTCAAACTAGACAAGTAAATAATCTTTTAAAGACACTTATGAATAAATTTTGATTATCCGAAATCAAAAACTGAAAATCAAGTTTTACTCGATTTTGCCAAGCACTAACAGAGCATAAGATCTAGTCCTAAAACTGCTATGTGAACTACGTTTTGAAGAGAACCAAATACTAAATTTTTATATATGACAAGCTTCCAATTGTGTAACTATTAGGTTAGTATCGATTGTAATCAGTATAAATCGATGTCAATTACCTCTATAGTTGGTAATCGATTACAACCATTTAGGTTAGCATCGATTGTAACTGATATAAATCGATAGCAATCACCCCTGCAGCAGGTAACCGATATCCACCCAATTTAAAAATTTCCTGATGTAGGATACAATTCGGATTAATATCAGCGTACAAGACATATCAACAAAACGATAGCTCAATAGAAAAATCGATAGAGCTTATCTTATAGATCTATCGATTTACTTATTGAGCTGATATGCCTTGTATGCTGATATTAATCCGAATTGTAGCCTATACGTCTCATATTTGCGCCAAATATCTGTTTAAAATCGGGTCATATCAGGATTTTGTGATGCCGATTTGAACCCGATTTGCCTTATTTAAATTTTATACTGCTTTAAAATGATTATTACTGTAGCTGCATAATAAAATTTAATGCAATTCTGTATCGATATTATCTACCACAGCTCAAGTCATGCTCTAGCCATGACACAAGTTTTAGCTTCAATAACTATGGCTTAATCTGGAGCCATGACTTTAAAAAGCAATTAACCATAGTTAAAAGCTGTAACTCCAAGTTATAGCTTAAGCTGTAGCTAATTTTCTTGGTCAGCTTGGTTCTACTATGCAGCTAAAACTAGCTTCGGATAAGCCGTTAACCTCCGAAGGCTGTCTGAAAGACAATTGGCAATAATTCATATTTGGTTAGTTAAATTTCGAAGGACAATACAACAATAATAAAAAAAATATACATATTTATAATGATAAATAATTGTCATTCACTTTAATTAAGACCAAAGCTTGTTAAAGCAATAAAATATACAGGTTGAATGTTTGTTAAGTTAAACGAATTTCATACTATGTGATATAATGATCGTAAAATTTAAGTGCAGAATTAACGTTTAATTAACTAAAATAATAATAAATGCGATCCAAAACTTAACTAGAGTGAAAGAGAGAGAGAGATTTTTTTTTTATTTGAGAACATAATAAAATTTTTGAGAATATTAAATTAAGTAAATATGTTTTCATGAGAACATAAATTTCGAAAAAGATTTCTAACAGTGATTGTGGCTGTTGAGTGACAGGCATTCCGTTTGGATATTGTGTTACTGGTTGTTGTGGAACAGCCAATTGTGGCTGTTGAATGACGAACATTCCGTTTGGATCTTGTGTTACTGGTGGTTGTTGGGTGAATGGCATCCCGTTTGAATATTGTGTTACTGGTTGTTGTTGAGCGGCCAATTGTGGTTGTTGAGTGACAGGCATTCCGTTTGGATATTGTGTTAAAGGTTGTTGTTGATCGACGAATTGTGGCTGTTGGGCGATGGGCATTTCATTAGGATATTGTGTTACTGGTTGTTGTTGAGCAGCCAATTGTGGCTGTTGAGTGACATGCATTCCGTTTTGATATTGTGGTTGAGTGACGAACATTCCTTTTAGATATTGTATTGTAGGTTGTTGAGCGACGAACATATCTTTTAGATATTGTATTGCAGGTTGTTGTTGAGTGAAAAGTTGTAGTTGTTGGTTGATAGGCATTCCGTTTGGATAATTTTTTTCAGGTTTTTGTTGATCGACAAATTGTGATTGTTGGTTGACAGGCATTCCATTTGGATATTGTTTTACAGGTTGTGAAATTAAAGTGTCAATTTCTGGGGTACGCATCGTTTTATAAATAGTCCAAAAGGCAAGATTTGGGTTATTTTCTAAGATTCTGTGATACTTTGCGAAATCTTCAGCCGATTTTAATCCTCTATTTTTTTTGCTATTGACATATCCACGCGCAAGATATGCAAATGCATTATCTTTATCAAGCGTTATTGATTTGTTCAAATCATCAAGCGATGCATCATGACTTCCTATCATAAGCATAGCAAAACCAAGAATGCCATACGTGAATGCATGATTGTTATTATTATTGATACCATCATCTATTGAACTATTTAATTCAGCGATCGACTTTTCATATTCACCCATTCGACAATGAATAAATCCTTTAATCATTAATGTAAAAGGATTTTTTGGAATTAATTTTAATGCCTTTTCTACCTCTCTAAGTAATTTTTCATATTGTTCTCGAATGGTCAATGCAAATGGGTAATTTGGTATGATTTCAAGTGATTTTTTTAAATCAAAAATCGACTCTTCAAAATTTCCAACCCAACAATAAGTAAATGCACGAATTGCTAATGCAAACGCACTAAGTGGTTTAATTTTTAATGATTTATTTAAGTCAGAGAACGATTTATCGAATTGACCCATCCAACAATAGGTAAATCCACGAGCAGCCAATGCATATGCATCATTTGGATCTTGTTTTAATACATACTTTAAATCGTTCAATGAGTCGCTATATTTACACATACAACAATTAATAAATCCACGTATTGCCGTTGCACGTAAATTTTGATCAATACCATGCGCCGCGTTTATATTAACAAATGCTTCATGATATTGTCCTATAAGGCAATAAGCTGATCCAAGCTGCATTAAAGCAAGCGGATTATTCTCCCAAATTTTTAGTGACAGTGTTATGGTGTTAAGTGTATCCTGATATTGGCAAGTTTTAAAATAAGTATATCCACGTTGTAATAACACCATTGCAGCCATTGTATCATTTTTATCTCGGATGCTTAGCTCATCCTCTAAAATTTGGATTGCTTCTTTATAGTTGCCTTCACTAATAAGTTTACTTGCGTGATTTTTCTTCTCGACAAAGGGAAAATCTTCTAGAAGTTTAAATTCGACTTTCTCTAAAGGCATACGTTTGAGGGGAGATTTCTTACAACATCCCTCAATTATTTTTCTAAGTTTTGATGACGATGATACATCTGTGTTCGAAAATAATATTTGAAAATGCTCTGAATCCTCAGAATTTTTAAGTTCTCTGACTTTGTCTTTTTCCATTCTATCATACAACCTGTATAATATTAAATAATGCTATAAATTACATCCATGAATTCAGACATATGCTTAAAACTTGTGAAGATAAGCTAAACATACGATTTTCCATTTGTTGCAATTTCCCACACAACCAATCCGTAACTATAAATATCTAATATTTAAAAAATAATCAAATAAAATTAATATGCATATACTAATTAATATATACTAGAAATAAATCACTATTTCGACTCTCAGCACCTTAATGCTTATTTTATCTCTTTTGACATCAATTTCGCACAAAATGACATTCAATTTCGTACAAAGTGGCATTCAAATTGTACAAAGTAACATTTAAATTTGTACAAAATGACATTCGAATTTGCGCAAAGTAACAAATCTGATCAAATTGGGTTATATAGTATCGTTCGAATTGTCTCATTGAGAAAATTCGAATGGTATCCAAATCGGATCGCTAGATCACGAGATATCACGATTTGATCAAACTTATTTTAATTCACTTTATACAAATTTGAATGTCACTTTGCACAAAATTGAATGTCACTTTGTACGAAATTAAATGTTCGTTTGTACGAAAATAATGTCAAAAGGGATATCAGCATTTCGATAAGATTACGTGAATTGTCGAACTTCTAATGAATATTAGGTCCACCTGAAAGATGTGGCAGATCTTTATAATGCTTTTCCAATTCTTTGTCTTCAGAGAGACGCTCAGGTGCTGCATAAAATACCGTTCCTAATTTGTCATAAACCAACGATTCATCAATGCAATCTTAAACACAAATTTTGAAATTTGAAATTCTAACTTCAATTTACTTACCACCAGTTTTCCCTCTCACATCCAACTCTCGTTCCGTACGACTTACACCAAAATCTGTAATTTTCAATACCAAATATTTATTCACTAAAATGTTATTAGATTTTAAATCCGAATGTATAATTCCATTTTCGTGGTATTTCCGTAATCCCCATGAGATTTGAATAGCCATATCTGCTTTTGTGTCCGCGGTAAGCTTGTTACTATTAAGGTAGTTAAATAAATTTCCATTATGTGCATATTCCATAATTAAACAAGTACTTCCGCTTGGAGTTTTTGTTACACCATAGAATTTAATTATATTTTCACATTGAAGGCTACGAAGAATTCTAAGTTCATTTGCTATTTCATTCATAATATTTTCATTGAAATGTTTGACTGTGAAAATAGAAAATATATATTAATAAGCAGATTTTAAGTGTTGAAACCTTTTATTTTAAATAACTATAATATATATTTATACCTGCAACATCAATTCCCTTGTACTTTTCAAGAGTAATCATAGCAGCACCGCCTTTGTCAATTACATTTCTACTATTCGAAACTTGCTTATAAGAAATAAAAATGCTATCTGTATTATAATAAGCCATATGTCTAGTGCAAAAAAATTTTAATTATCAGTGAGATGTAAAAATTTCTCAATTCACATGAGTATATATAAAAGAAAAAAAATTTTTTTTTAGCAGTTGTTAATGATACACTGTAATGTTATAAAATACCTTGGAGAAATCCCAAGTTTACACAAGTACTCTAACGGGTCAATTCGGATCAAAAGTCATTCCAAAAATTATCTATTTATGTTATAAAATACCTTGGGGAAATCCCAAGTTTACACAGTACTCTAAAGAGTCAATTCGGATCAAAAGTCATTCCAAAATTATCCATTTATGTTATAAAATACCTTGGGGAAATCCCAAGTTTACACAAGTACTCTAAAGGGTCAATTCAGATCAAAAGTCATTCCAAAATTATAGTGCAGTACGTATGTTTAATCCATTTATGTTAGGATCAGTTTTGTATGGAAAACTAAATTATTTATATTGTTATTACTTTAGAACTTGTAATTGTCCAAATAATTCATCAAATTATTCTGTTATCCATCTATTATCGCTCTTTTCGATTTAGTTGGATCGATGAAATTTGCAGATTTTTTTTTGTCTGAGTCTCATGAATCTGTGAATCCATGAGTTTCATATATGCATATATCCTGCATATAATATTTATTTGTAATGGTTAGTTGTTATCATAACAGCGCGGAACTCACGAACAAAAAAAAAAAAATCTGCAAAATTCATCGATCCAACTAGATCGAAAAGCGATAATTTAATTGTTCTAATTGTCTATTAGATTTCGGATATCTAATAGACAAATGGATAAATGAGAACACTAGTTGTCCGAAACGTAGCGAGGACTTACTATGGAGACGTAAATTTCATGGATTCCGCCCATGTGACACCCCGCCCATCACTATTTTTATATAAATATTTAAAATTACCGTAAACTGTTATCATACCCCTTATGTACTAGACCCGGGCGTGAAACTTAAAATTTACAATACCAAATGCGGTTTTTTTAAATATCTAGGCTGCCAATTATGAATGAAAAATATGCATACTTTTTTAATTTTTTCCTTCTAATGGTAAAAACTCTCCACCATGTACTAGACCCGAGTCTAATATTAGGTTTTAATATTTAAGAGACCCGGGTCTTTTAAACGGCAGTTTACGGTTTTCGCTTCGGACTTTAATTTACCTAGTATAGAAATTTGTATAGAAATACGTCAGCAAACAATTCATAATACAGGAATAGTTATTATTGTAGAGAACAATAAGCTTGGCATTATTCTTATGTGTACGTACGTACGTTCGGTGCAGGAAATCTAAAAACCTCATCACTTTATGGCTAATTCATTGAAGATAACAATTTTAGGAATCGCATTCCAAGAAGTATATCTAGATGAATTATTTGATTATTTTGATTCCTTTATTGAATGCCTTCAATATGACGATAATATTAATATTGATCAATTACCTACTGGAGCGAATTTAATTATACGTGATAAACATCCTGTTCATGGTAAACTCATAGAAGGTATAGAATATAGCATTCCACCAGATACTGACTTTCATAAATGGGTACAAGAATTCGGAAAATCAACTGGAGCACTCTATGTAAGACGTCAAATTTTTCATAATGAGGAAAATGTAATTTTGTAAGCTATCTACAAGTGTCATCGTGCTGGGTAATATCAAAGCATAGCAGGTAAAGATCAATCAATATAAGAACCACGTCCTAATCAAAAGCTAAGTAAAAAATGTGACTGTAAGTCGCGCATTATTGTTACCCACACCAACATGCCTGATGGAGAACAAATAACTATTAAGTATACTTCCCACACCAATCACGTTCCTGGCTCTGATAATGATATTGGTACATTAAGACTTTCTAAAGAGGTAAGAAGCTAGATTGCTGAACGAATTTGAGATAGCCTTAATGTTAAAGGAGTTATTTCTAGAGATAATCTTGTAATCCGGGACGATATTTATAATATTTGGAAAGAGGTAGTTGTTGAAAATCAAATAAAGCATAAATCCGAAGAGCAAAGTATAGAATTGTGGAGAATTGAGCTTGATCAAAAAAAGATCTTACCTGCGCAATTCCCAGAGCAGAAGGTAACTTTTTGTTTTATTTTTTTTTTTCTTTTATTTTTTTATTATTAATTTTTTTTTATCTTTTATAGGAAATGGCGAAAATGATAAAGGAAAACTCTTTGGATTTACAGTTCAAACTTGCAAAGAAATTATTCATGAAGTACCTATTATTCTTCTCAATACAACTTATGGAACAAATAAGCATAAGGACTTATTATATACCTTACTTTCTCCTAACCCAAAAACCGGAAAAGGTATAACTCTTGCTCACCTTATTTCATCTCACAAAAATACTGAGTCTGTACAGTATTGGCTTTATAAGCTTCGTGCTCAGTTTTCTAGCTGGCAAGGTCCTACTGCATTTTTGGTTGATTGTGATCCCGCACAAATCAAAGCTCTTCGTATAGTTTTTCCAGAAAGTAGGATCTTGCTTTGTTGGTGGCATGTTACAAAGCCTGGAGAGAAAATCTTTCTAAAGTTAGTAAAGAAATAAATCAAATGCTAGGTTGTAAACTCACAACAGATGAAAAAAGATCATTAGAAAATGAACTTTTTGAAGATTTAAAGTATTTGATGAAAATTGATAACATAAATATTGTAAATGAAGTTTAGTTGCATTTTTGGAAAAGTGAAAAAATTCAGTAGTATTTATAACATATTTCAAACGGCAGTGGTTAAATGAACCAGATCAATACGGCAATCATTATGGAATAGACAAAATAATGTGGATAAAAGCTTATCGTTCAAGAATTCCATGTGCTAATATGAACATGACAAATATGCTTGAGTCTTGGCATAAGTGTTTAAAGTATGACAATTTTGAGGGTAAAGTAAATAGGCATATTGATGTCTTGATTTATGAATTATATGTTATAATGGATGGTGATAATCGGCAACAATGACATCTTGCTGATGTTCAAGCAGGGCGTATGATGCCTGCAGAAAGAGAAGTTCGCAGAAGACAAATAAAAGCACAAGAGTTAGTAAATACAGTCTTGGAAAATACAATTGGCAGGCATTATTGGACTGTAGCATCAGAAACAATACTAGGTGTGAGATATTCAGTAGAAAAAAAATTTGAACATAGTCAGTTAGAAAAAGAATTTTTCTGCACATGTACAGATTTTAGTATGCGACAACTTCCCTGTAAGCATATTTATGCTGTTATCCTTCGCTTTTTTTCTTCACTCTCAAAAAATGTCAAACTACCTCAACAACAGCAACAGCAACAACATCAGCAGCCACAGCATCAACCACCTAAACTCGAAGAGCTTATTCATAGTATTCAAGAAATGACACGAAGTCTTAATAATCTTGATGTCAACTCTTTACAAGTTGTCTATGATCAATTGTTCAGAGTTCTTGAGGATGTTCGTAGACCAGATAGAACTTTTCAGATAGGTGACTGGGTGAGTGACCAAAATACTAAGTTTCCTCTACATATGAGTATAGAAAAGCAACGAAGATAAATTTATACCTTTATTATAATTATTATTTAACTAACCTATATTTAAAAAAAAAACTTTATTAAGGATCTTATCAATATTATTATAAAACAATTGCTTATTAACTAGTATTTATTAACATATCTGTTAAACCTTTAGCTCAAATAAAAAAAAACCGTCTATATGTTAAAATTATATGTCAACTTTATTTAATATATAGCTACGTCCAAATATAATATTAATAAGTCTACCTTCATAATTTATTTCAATGTTAACTATAATTGTATTTTAATATACCATATATTGTGGTCGCTTTATAGTACGTAAATGTGCCATGATCATAAAATAAGTACTAAAGTAACGAACGATTTTACATTAAAGAAAGTGTATGAACTTCGATTTAATCAACCAATCAGATGTCTGATTACATAACTGATGATCATCTGTTCTATTTTTAGCTTTGTATCACTGGCGCAAATAAGTACGCGGCATAACACCTAAATCATCACATGACATTGATTGGTTTAGTAATTTACATGTGATTAATAACATCATATTCCCGTGCCCATGTGACATTTTGAAATCACACCCTGTAGATCACTGTAGATCCTTTCTGATCTAATTCCAGAGCCAAAACATTAAATTTCTTTAAATTTCTAGTGAAGATTTCTCAGTAACCATTTGTTCAAATTTAATAAAATGGGTTATTTTAATTCTATATATTTGTAAAATTAGGATAAAAAAAGTTCATTGAATTTGGTTTAGTGGTTGTCAAGAAACATTTGCTAGAAGTTTTGAAAAAGCTTGAAAAAAATCTAATATCGGCAAATTTTTCTTTTTGAAATTTTAAACGATGATTTCTCAATACCCATCTATCTAAATTTGATGAAAAATTTTTTATTTTGATTCTGCAAGTATGAAGAATTAAAAAATATATTTTATCAAATTTGTATAGATGGATGTTGAGAAATATTGATTAAAAGCTAAAAAAAAAAGGTTGGCCGCAGCTTTTTTATTACGGATATCTAAACTTTGAACGAAGATAACTCAGCACTTATCTAATCAAATTCGATCAACTTTTTTTATTTTAATTATATGAGATTATATAATTAAAATAAAAAAATTTAATCAAATATGATCAGGTAAGTGCCGAGTAATCTTCGTTCAAATTTTAGATATCTGTAAAAAAGAAGCTGTGGCCAAATTTTTTTTAACTTTTAATTGATATTTCTTAACATCTGTCTATTCAATTTCAGTTAATTTTTTTTATTTAATCTTGCAAACTTGCAAAATCAAAACAAAAAAATTTTCATTGAAATTAGATAATTAAAGTTTAAATAAATAATTTTATTGCAACATTCTTTTTCTTAAATTTTTTTTACAAAACTTTAAACGATGTTTTCTTAACACCCATATATTCTAATTCAATGAATTTTTTTTATTTTGATTCTGCAAGTATGTAGAATTAAAATAAAAAAAAAAAATTACTGAAAT